TTACGCGGCCGCCCGCGTTTGCCCATGGAGGGACGGGGGTCCGCAGAGCTCGACCTCTCGCCCGGCTGCGTGAAGACCCGGCCGGCTGGAGCGGAGGAAGAGCCGGGGCGAGGAGCCGGCCTGACTTCCCGAGCCTGGCTGCGTGCAGTTGTGTGTGTGCGTGTGTGTGTGTCGGGCTCGCAGTGGGTCTGTGTGTATGGGAGATTGAATGAACCTACAGGACAGACGGAGGCGCTCTGGCACCTGGGTCCTAGTGCGAGCCTATCACCATTGGACCGGTCAAAATAAAAGGTGGAGACGGGCGAGACAGGGACCGCCTCCTACCGGCCTCCACACTCCACCCCCGCTGCCTCTCCCCTAATCTTACCACGATGTATTTAAATCGAAATGGGAGGGGGAATTCAATGCCTTTGAATGCACCTGCATAAAAACAACTACTAAGACATTTTTTCCTATACATAAAAATAATAGCTCTTAAAGTGTCCAGTACAATGCCTGGCATGTAATATATCCCCAATAAATGGTAGCTACTATGATTTTTCTTTTTCAGATAAAAGCCCAATTCAGATGGGAAGAATTAAACCATTACACATAACTTAAAGAGCCTCCCCCCAAGATACACATTTCCCACAGATACACACACACCAGCAGTGTGTGCACTGTCACACTGAGCACGAAATCCCCAGGCCACCCAAGTGCGGTTACAGATTTATTTTCTCTTTCTTTATCCCTTCAAATGCAAAGTTATTTTCCCGGAAGGGGAGGAGATGTAAGCATCGCTCTCCACACTGCCCTTCCCAGCCTTGGTCCAGCTGTGCAAAGCTCACAGCAGGGGACCTCCACACCTGGCTCCCTTTTATTTGACAGAGTGGCAGAAGTGGCAGCCCAGAGACGTTCCCTCCCATCTGAACTCCACCTTTTGGCTCTGAAGACCCCTTTCCCAGTTGACACTTGTTTTCACTCTGTTGCTGTCACCCAGTCAGGATCTGCAGAAATTATGAATGCTTCTAGCTCTGGGGGGTGCGTGATTGTAACCAGAGAAATAGCTGGATTCTAGTACCATCCCTGCTGCACACAGACTGTGTGAGCTTGGGCAAGTCCCTTAACCTCTCTTAGCCTAAGTTTCCACATTCATGAGACCTTTGATAAGGTTCTTGTGTGATTAAATCATATCTGCATTTAACACACTGCCTGGTGCACAGCGAGATGATTCTTCCATTCCAGACCCAGCCAAGAACCTGGTTCCTCTAGCTGATAGTACTTGCATCTAAGGGGGGTAACCAGATACAAAGCAAGCTCCTCTGCACTTTCTTGGAAAACATCCCTACAAGTCCCTCCAAATACTGCAACCTTGTGAGGCCACCCGGAGTTGTCCTCCAGTGGAACCACTTACATAAAAGACACAGTGAATACTGCCCCCTAGAGTTGTGCGAGGCAGCCACCCTGCTCAGAAGTGGCTTCATACACATTTGTTGTGCAGATTTACTGGAAATGGGAACTGTGAGAAATAAGGAGAGAAAGTATATTTCTTTGTAAAACACTTATATACCTACAGAGTATGTACACGCACACCCTCAAGAAAATCTTCATGCACTTTAAAAATATCATAACCTGCTGCTGAGATGACAAGATCAGCTATTAACTGGCATTTTAAAGCTAATGTATTCATATTTGGGACCATAATAAAATCATACTACTTACCCATAATTCTGCTTCTACAAAGATTACAACCTAGGAAACCTTATGGGCAGTTATACTCTGTCAGATGAGGTCATGATGAGATGAAAATTGACTCAATGGCACAAAACAACAACATATATTCTTTGTTCATTACCCATACTGTGACAAATTTCACACAGTTGATATCTGCATCCTTTGGCTAGGGGAGGATAGAAGCACCTAGGAGCTGCAAGATAAAAGTTCAGCTTCCAGTATCACAACAATCACTTATTGTATGTTTCTGTCAGAACCACAACCTGAGTTATTCATTTTGAAAGGTCTATAAATGTCTAAGGACTTAGGAAGGCCTCATGTATGCAGTTTCAAGCAAACTTTATGCAAAGCCATTTTGCAAAAACTGGCATCGTGTGAAACAGACCCAACCTTCCTTGCCCCAAATGAAAGATGATAGTGAGACAATCAACTAGCTAAGCCCAGAGAAAAACTCAGTTCCAATCTTTAATTCCCTGGAAGGAGCCATGGGCCAAGTGTGCAGATATGCAGTGCTGCAAACCTACACGTATACATACACAGATCCACCGATCCAGGGACACCCCCAATCACGAGTGCATGTTTTGGCACTATTTCTTTATCCTTTTTCTCTCTCTTATAGGTCTGGGAGCCTCAGCAAACCCAGTGGGAATCTTCAAGCTGGGCCACGGATCTAACCAAAGCCAAAATAAACAATGGCTTGAAGAAAATCTAGAAGAAAGTGCTGATTTGCACTATTCCCACAGTCAGTCACAGCCCCCACCATCATTCCCATGGAAAACATCACTGCTGGGGCCAAATCAAGCCCCCCCCATCATAGGGTCATTGTTTTTTGTTATTATGTGAGTTCTGAGCATCAGACAATGGCACCACAAGAGACACAGTGGGGGTACAGGAGAAACGCCTTTTTGTTTCACAAAGTCTGTGCCATTGTGTCCCCAAGTCTCGCACATAGTTTAGTTGCATATATTCATTTTGGTAACATGTATGTGGAATGAGGATGATGAATGTGCCAAGATAAAGCCTGAAGCCCCTCCTTTTTTTTTTTTTTTTCAGAGCCCAGCAAGTGTTAAATCATGTTAGCATCACATTGCGTTCTCTCCCTCCCCTTTCCCCCAATTAACAGATTTCTCTAATAAAGTTGGCCTCAACACAGAGCCTAGGGTTTCAGGGGTTATATCATGGGACAGGCATTCAGGATGCTGAGTTACAAGCTCAGCTTTGCGATTAGCTTTGCTTCCCAGGGGCAGCCATTCAGACTCTTTGCACCTCACTTTCTCTGGGCCTTTGACTCCAGAAGGAAACAGGCCTCTTTGGAAACTTGCTGAGGATTTCTGCACAGGTGACAGAGAACAGGTGAGGGATGAGAAGGCAGCCACCTGATAAGAACATTTTAGTTCTTGAAAGAAAAGCACTGGTGAGAATTTCCACGATGCCTCCAGAAAGCCCAGGGTCTCTTCGGTGTCCCCTGAGCTTGGGCCTTGCTTTCCCAACCTTCTCCCTCCTTGGGTAGCTTGTTTGCTTGTTTGGTAATATTCTTCCATTGGCCTTGTTTGCATATTAAAGCAAGATTGTTCTTTCTTTTATTTGACCCTTCTTTCCCGATCCGCCCCCCCCCCCCACCAGCCATTCTACACTCTCACATCAAAGGAGTTGTTTTACCTGTAATTATGTCTTTATGTACACAGAGCCTGGTTAATTACTGAGAAGGTGATAGGAGACTTGACACTTGCATTCAGATGGGATGCTCTTCCATCCACATGGACCATTTTGGCTTTCTTGGGCTCCTTAACCCTACTCTTCCTTCTTCACTGGCCTAAGTCCACCTGCCCATCCTTTAGTTTTTTCTTGGATCTTGCCAGCATGGCCAGTCAGGTTCTTCCCTGCTCTTTGCCCTGTGGTCTTTGTACTCAGCCTTAGTAAACACCATCAAGAGATTTTCTGTCCCCTGTATTGTCACTTGAGTTCTAATCCCAGAGCTTTTCCCAACCAAGCTTTTCCTGGACACCTTTCCCTTTGGAAAAGGATTGTCTAGCAATAAGCTGAAGAGCTGGCTCAGAGCCTCCTGTCCATGGGCCTTTCATCTTGCCTTCATCTATCAGAAACGAGGAAACGCTCCCAGGAAAGCCCCAGAGTAGAGGATTAGGGACTCTTAGACATAGCAGTATGGCAGGAACAGGAATGGTGGGACTTTGCCTCTCCCACTGGCTCCTCATGCAATCTGAAAAGAGCTGACCAAGCCTCCTCCAAGCACCCCTCCTGTCCCCACCCCCACCTTGCACTCACCAGTGGGTACAGTCCTGGGCAGAGGATAAGTAGGCCCCACCCTAACATTGGAGCTCACCTGGGTATCACTTTTTCCTGAAACATTATCTCTGTTCTTCAAGACTCAGCCCTCTCTTCTCTTAGACCTCTGAGGCTGCCAGGCTCTTCCTGACTCAGCCAACTCCTGGCCTTTTCCCGTCCCATGCCCAGTACTTACAGAGTTCATTAAACTATGAGCTCATCAAGGGCAGCTAGCATGTAGTGCACTCCTTGGCATACCTGGCCTCCAGCACCACGCACGGCAGTCTCATGGCACAAAACAGGGACTCATGTCAGGAGGGTCATAGGAATGAATGTCCTTTCCTGCCTGACCAGAGCCTTGGTGCTGGCCCTTCATGTCTTTCTTGTGCCAGTGTGGCAGAGGTATTTGACACTGTCTGCAAAGCTGTTCCTAAGTTACATTAAAGTTTAAATATCTAAATGCTGTCTCTCTGGAGAAGCCAGAAACACAATGAGCCAGATGGTCAAGCTTCCCTCACCAAAAACTGCAGAGGCTCGCCTGCCCTCTCCCCATGCCTATTGGGCTACAGATCTGGTGACAAGATGGGTCTCTTCTGTAATAAGATGCCTCTGATGGAGAATTTTCAAAAATTACCAGGCAATGAAGCCAGTGGGCTTAGAGCAAACTGGCAATCATGTGGGGCTTATTTCTTCACATCTCCCCATGATAGGGTGTCTTCTCAGTCCTCCAGGTCCCCAGTTCTTGGACAACTCCCTATTTTTTTTTTTTTTTTAATTAAGTCAGGAAAAGATTCTAAACTCATGAACCTCACAGTATCACTGACTGACAATAACTTAAATATGACCCTTACCAGAAGCATTTGGAATTAAAGATGGCTAGACCTTAAGTTCTGGCGG